ATTCGAGCGAGTCGAACACGAGCTGAGCTTGGCCTGGGCTCGTTTACAGCCCTATCCATCTCTACCTTTCTTAATATAAGTTGAATTTAAAACATCTACTCTCCTAAGTAGATCATCAAATGATCAACATTTAATGTGCTAAACCATCTATAACGACTGTAATCTTGTGAGTCATTGGAGCTACACCAAACCTTTCATGAATATATTCATTGTGCATTTTGTCTCTAAGCGTAAAACCAATCATTAACCTAAGCAATCTAATCTCAGCAACACTTAGCTTAGTTTTATGCTTCCCTTTTATTGGCCAAAATTTTGCTTCGCAAAATATTCCAGGCCTTACCATCACTTTAAAAAATGTTCCTTCAAGTCCAAGTAGTACTTTTTTATCACACAATAAACCTGATGCATTGCTTCACTTCAACCATCCAACTTGAATTCTACTAACAACATCTCCATATATATCATCGTCACTTTGAACAATAGACCTGAGATATCTAAAACATCAACTCCTTTTAAAGATTTAGATCTACTTAAACGAAAACCTTTAGATTCTAAAGTACTCCTCCACAATTCAAGTTTTTTTTTTTTTTCTGAAATATTTATCTAGTCTTATCCACAAGAATGATATCATCAGCAAAAAACATACACTAAGGTACATCTTTCTGTAAATTTTTAGTAAGAGCATCCATAACTAAAGCAAAAGAATATGGGCTTAAAGTTGATACCCAATGTAATCCAACTAAAATAAAAAAACTCTATAAAACCTCCTCTGTTCAAACACAAGTAAAAGCTCTAGTATACATATTTTTAATGAACTGAATAAAAGTCATATAAATATCTTGCTTTTCTAGAACTCTCCAGATAACTTTTCTTTGAACCTTATCATAAGCTTTTTCTAAATCAACAAAATACATATGTAGATCCCCCTTACTCTCTTTGTGCTTCTCCATTAAACGTCTCAATAAATGTATAACTTTCATAAATCCAAGCTGATTATGAAAAATCTTTGTATCACGTCTTAACGTACATTCAATTACACTCCCTAATAATTTTAATCTATGACACATTAACTTAAATCCTTTATAATTTGCACACTCTCATGCATCCACTCTCTTCTTAAAATTGTGGACCAAAATACATTTTTTCCACTCCTCAGACATCTTTTTAGTTTTTAAAATAATATTTAAAAGTTTAGTAGGCCAAAAAATTCTTTAAGATCCTATATATTTCACACTTTTATTGTGAGACCATCAAGTCCTGATTTTTCACCCTTAATTTTTCTTAAAGCCTACTCAACTACCTTTTTATTAATGTAACATTTAAAAAAAAATTAATATTATTAACAATATTAACATCACTAAAGTTGATCATATTTTCAAAAACTTTATTAAAAAATTTATCAAAATATCTCAACCACTTATATTAAATATATTCATTGAAAAAAAATATATTTTAAAATTTTCATTTTTAGTACACTTACTTGAATTAAATCTTTCCTTCACTTTTCCCTTTGTTAGATTAGTTTATAAATATATTTTTTATCCACTTTGGTATTTAATAAATTTTAAAAATCACTAAAAATAAAATTTTTAGTATCACAAATTGTTATTTTAGACTCTCTACAGGAAACTTTAATGTTTTTCTCAAATCTCTAAGATTTTACATTCAAACCAATTTTGATAATTACTTATATATTATTTTTTTGCATATCAACATCTTTGTCTGCATTAGCTCATAATGTGAGAGCCCTTACTTATTTAGCACAACACCTGAGTATCATTGTAGTGGTCATTGCACATTTTTCAATATATTCAAATCATACATCACATCGCTTTCAGGGGCGCCCAAGCATTTACACAAGCAGAAGATTCCCTCGAACAAATTTCACTCCAATCAATTAACCCATTCTATTCTAATAAGGACTTCCTCAAACAATCCCCTAATCCATGAAACAAAGACTACTCAGAGTACCATTTAAGGCTCAATGTAGGAAATGTACCAACTATTTTGAGTTTCAATTAAAAAAACAAGTATTGTTGGATCAAACAAACGCTACAAAATAAACATCATTAACAATTAAGCAATTGGGCATTGCATGTTGAGAATTAAGCAAGATCAAATTTGAATCACCAAGAGTGAAAAAATATTGAAACGAGATAAATGAATTAAATAAACAAGAATTTTATATAGTTACACTCAATTGATGGTTATGTCCAATTGCCCCACTAAAGATTTTACTATTATGGTGGCAAAGGAATTAACAACCCTAATCTCTCAGGTTAATCACATAATGATGGTGCACCCCTCCTACTATCATGGAAAAAAAACTAAGCCAACCTTTATTAAAGTGCATCCCAAAACACCCTTAATGAAACAGCTCGTAAATATTGGACATCTTTCAAATGTTGTTCCCCAAAACCCTTGAGATGAAAGATTCCAACTCCCACTGAGATCTTATTGCAAAAATCAATATGCAATAGAGTCTACGTAAGTTATTTCCTTGTGGAGCATTAATTATGCTCCAAATTTTAACATAAACATTGTTGGGAAAGATGAAAACCAACAAACTATTTATATTTGTGTTCAGTAATGTATTCATTATACTATGGAAATTCTAGAGATGAGCAGCTCTAATTATGGTAAGAGAAACTAAAAAAAAAAAAAGAGAAGCCAATGTTGTTAATCATTTTTTCTTATATCATGAAATAAAAAAACACTCTTAAAGAGGTGATGTTATCCTAACATATCAACGGTAATTTAGCCAATGAAGCGTGTAATTCAACATAAAAAATTCAAAGCTCTTAACTTTTGCAAGACGTTCACATAATTTCATCATGAACGAGAATCAAACAATGTGAGTGGAGCTGAACAAGATTAACAACAAGAAAAGGAATACCTTTAGCAGGTGGTGCCATCAGTTAACTCGCAGTAAATCCCCAATAAGCTACTTACCTGTCATGATATGATGCATCAGTATGCTACTCTGATCAAACCACACAAGCAGTACACTAAAATAAATTAAAAAAACTACAACAAAACAAATTAAAATTAAAACTATCAATTACTATTTTCCCCAATTTATAACGGACATAAATTTCTTCAGAAGTCGAAACTGCTCATACATGCTACAGCCTTTTCAATCTCAAATGTTCGGCTCAAGCAGTAATATTAGCTCATACAAATCAACTTCCATTTCATATATGAATCTACCAAAGAACAACAAATTTAAGCAAGACTTTCTAAGCATCACAGCTCAAGTCTTTCCGATATTAAAGTAAAATCGTCTTGCTACATAAGTTTGACAATGGAACCCTAATCCTCAATCCAAATAGCCAAAACCAAAACACATTCAAACATACTAATTCAGCACGCAGACTAGAAAAGAAAGCTATAACGCAACACATCTAACATTAAAGAGCGCATCATCGCAGAAAAAAGAAAAAGGCGAAACTAAGTCTGCAACTCGAATTTGTGGAGTAAAAACAGCTATCAAGTAATAAGAAATATAAGAGTTCTTTAGCAAAGCCAAATGTCCTCTCACCTGTGACAAAAACCCTAGACTAACGAACTGGATGGAGGAAGGGAAAAATTGAAAACATTTTATAGGGCTTCAAAATTAATCCTGACCGTTCAACCACATCGATGGGTTTCTTCAGTTGGTTATTATAAAATGAAGAAAACGATTTCAATGAAATGATTAGATAATGAGTTATTATGAAATAAATAATAAGAAATTATTTAATATAAAAATATTAAATATATTTTTAAAATTTTAAATGATTTATAGATGTCTTGAGTTTTAATATATTTTATTTAAATATTTAATAAATAATAAGAAATTATTTAATATAAAAACATTAAATATATTTTTAAAATTTTAAATGATTTATATATGTCTTGAGTTTTAATATATTTTATTTAAATATTTTTAAAACAACTCAGTTAACGAGGTAACGACTTAAGTTGATGTTAGCTTGAGCTTGACTTATTAACTCATATAATGAGTCACTAATCAAGTCAAAGTTTGTTGTCTGAGAAATTGATTTGGCTTAGTTATACCCCTAATTCTGATCCACATTTTTATTTGTCCGGGCACCAACTAACTTAGTCCTGTTATTTTTTTCTTTTAAATTATGGTTGATTGAGCTTGACAATTCCGTAAAATCTCATGAAGTAGGCATATGGCATTATAATTATATAACAATATGCAGTAAAAAATGTGTGTGACATATCTGGTCTTGAGATCAAAGTCCTAGTTGATATAAAAAAATATAAAAAGGATGAAACATATGATATTGAGTTTAGAAAATTTTTATGATGAAAAATCATACAATTATTTGATTGTCTGACTTTTAAATTTGATTGAATGTTTAAATTGTTTAATTGTAAATTATAAGTTTTTTGAAGATTAAGAGTTGTTTGGATGCAAATAAAAGGCATGTACATATTTTCGTTTAGATAATTTGTCATTACAAAATAAATTTGTATGCATTTAAAGTATCACAAATTTGTGAAGTAAGGCTCCGTTTGGGGCCGCTTTTTTGCGGCTTCGCGGCCCTAAATCGCGATAATTTGGTGTTTGGCTCGTAGTTTTGCGGCAATTGAAAGCTAACGTGAAAGAGAAGCGGAAAGTCATTTCCTCCCCACGGCGCAGCTTCGCAGCCTGAAAAAGGCTTGTTTTGCCCCTCGCGAAAATGTCCGCAATCTTCTTCCCACCTCGTCCCGCCCTCCCGCACACCCGCACGTGAAAAAGCCCACGGCGCCGCCGCCTCCTCGCCGCCTCTTCCTACCCGCGAATCTAATTTTCCGCACACCCGCGATCTTCTTCTTCGCCGCCTCTTCCTACCCATCTACTCGTCCAGCCCTCCCGCACACACGCACGCGAAAAAGCCCACGGCGCAGCCTCCTCCTCGCCGACACACCCGCACGCGAAAAAGCCCACGGCGCAGACTCCCGCGAATCGCCCTCCCGTGCGCGACAGGTTCTTCTTCTTCTCCGCGATCTTCTTCCCCTCTCTTCTTCCTCGACCAAGACCGCATCTTTCTCCCCCCCGCTCTTCTTCTTCCGCCTTCTTCTTCCCCCGCTCTTCTTCTTCCTCAATTGCAATTCCCATTGGCTTCAACACTGTTTATTCCTCAATTTTTTTCTCTTTAGTCTTCTGAAAAAATTGAAGATAGGTATATCCTGCCCTAAAGAGCTTCATAAGATATCATTCATATATTATAATGTTAACTATTATTATCAAAGAAAAGGAAAACTATGCTATGGTAAGGTACTTATCTCTATCTCTTTCAAAAATCAAGCACACATGATCTTGTAATATCTTCCAATGTTTGTATATTTGAATGAGCAATGTATAAGAATAAGCCTTGTATATTTGGGGGAATTTACATGCATACCACACAATTCTTACGTAATGCATACCACATGGTGAAGGGTTTCAAGTTGCATCAAAATTCCATCTCCATGAAGGTCAAGTTTAAATAAAATCAATCTAGAGTAATGTTTCAGTACATTTGAAAAATTTCGTCCTCATAAATTCGTCTATACTTTTATACAAATTTTTCTATTAGCATTATATAAGTACAATTCCATAATATCGTTCCAATGGATAAAAATTGAAAGGGAAATTTACATGCATACCACACAATTCCTAGGTATTCACGTGTATAACACAAAGTTCAATTTAACGATTCGCAATTACATATTTAAATTTTTTATATATATACATACAATTTTTAAACATTTTTACTAAACAGGGGCAGCTTGGTCATTTTTTCAGAAACAGCTGCCCCACAGCTGTTTTCACACAGCTGCACCAAACAGAATAAATTGTTTCCCCGCAGCAACTTTCTGGGGCAGTGTAGCTGCAGCTGAAAAGCTGAGAAGCTACAGCTGCGCCAAACAGACCCTAAATGAAGCCAAACCAACCGCCTAAAAGCCCTTCTTTAACGATAAAATAGTGAATTACACCTTTTAGTAGTGTTATAGATTATAAGGATAGGGTTGTTAGTCATAAGGTAGAGCGATCTAGAAATAAATTTTACGAGTTAAAAATAGCTTGAGATTGTTGCAAGACAATACTTGAGTTTAAGGTCTAGAGAAGAAAATATTAATTAAGCACAAAGATACCATGAATACGAAAAGATTGATACTATAAATATTCATTCATCGTGCTATCATTTTTCCAACAAGAAATCACACAAAATAGAAGAGAGATCATGCTTTTATTTCATTATCAAATGAATTTTCAAGTGTCAAGAAACATTACTTGTTGCATGGAGGGGAAGGGATGACAAGACACTAAATAAATAAGAAAGAGGAAGGGGTGAATAGCCACTTTTATAATAGGTAGAGAAGTATAAAAACCAGGTTAATAAAAGGAAAAAAAACAAAAAATCATTTGTTGATAAAAGAGAAATTTAAGAGCTACTCATAAACGATGGTAACAAAGTCAATAGGCTATATAATTTAAGGAAATATATGAAGCAAGACAAAAAGAGGACTCCCAAAATGAGTGGAAACCACTCCACCCTCCATGTCATGCCATAAACACTAACTCAAATAACTCAAATTAACTCAAAACTCAATATGACTCTAAAGATATGAAAAGAGTAAAAATAATCAAAATATCACATTGTGCGCTAAAAAAAATAAATTCATTAAATTCCCCTCGAGTGTAGGGTGTGGTCCTCGAATTATTGACACGTGAGGGATGGTCAGGGCTCATATCATAGCCTCCGGCCATTCCTTTCCTTTGAAGGATATGTATATATATATATATATATATATATATATAA